ATTCTCCTAAGTTAAGTCAATACATGCAGTCATGGGTAGAGCATTCAAGATCTGAACAAAGAAGTGATTGAGAGAGAACTTTAGGAAGGAAGAGGTACATGCCACTGTTCTGTTCTCCTCCCAGGGTCCCTTTTTTCCCCTCTGTTCTTTTCTATGCCTCTGTAAAGTCCAGCCTCCTTCAAATTGAGGTACCACTACTGCTATTTGCTCTCCAAGTCCCTATAGCCTCAGCAATAGGTCAGTGATCACAAACATGCCTTCTACATATATATATATGGAGAACCTAGGTGTTATGGTTTAGATATAATGTGAGACATTGCAAGAATTTTCTCATGTGTGAGACAATGCAAGAATTTTCAGAGGCGAAATAATTAGATTATAAAAGATATAACCTAATCAGTGGATTAATCCACTGATATGGATTAACTGGGTGGTAACTGAAGTCAGGTAGGGTGTGGCTGAAGAAAGTAGGTCACTGGGGGATATGCCTTTGGGGTTTATATTTTGTCCCTGGTGAGAGGAGCCGTCTCTCTGCTTCCTGGTTACCATGTCCTGAGCTACTTTCCACTGCTATACCCTTCCTCTGTGATGTTCTGCCTCATTCCATCCCAGAGCTATGGAGTAGGCTGAACATGGACTGAACCTCTGAAACTCTAAGCCAAAATAAACTTTTTCTTCTGTAATTGTTCTTGTCAGGTCTGTTGGTCATAGTGACACAAAAGCTAAATAAAACACCAGGTAAGGGCACATGGCAGGATACAATACTATATGTCTATACAGTTAAAAGTCATATATCAAACTAAGAAACTATTACAAAGAAAGACAGGAAGGGGATGGATTTCTACTATCCCTTCCAGGGTACACTGCCAGTGACCTAAGACCTCTCCCTAGACCCCACCTCTTTTACATGATCTACCAACTCCCAATAGTGCTACAAGCTGGGGACCAACCAAGCCTTTAACACAGAAGCCTTTGGGGGTCATTCCCAAACTACTGTCATACTCAAAATTATTACTTTCCCCTGACTCCATGATCAGTGTAGGAGGGTGGTTTTTTTTTTTTTTTTTTTTTTTTTTTTTCCTCTAATCATCACTGAGAGGACCTGGCAGAGCTCCTGGAGGTAAAACTCATAGAAGTATGAGTGTACCCTCTAAAGAATAGGCCCATTGGAAGTTTTAACTCTCAGACTTGTCTATATGAGTCTCTAGCAATTCATCAGTGACAGTTCCTTCCTATCTCTCTTTGTTTTTCAATTACCATGAATTGAGGAGCTTCCTCTACTGCACTGTCCAGCCATGATTTACTGCCTTGCACAGGCCCAAGAGCAACAGGGCCAAAAGACCACAGACTAAAACCTCTGAAACCATGAACCCAAATAAACCTTTCCTTCTTATAAGTTGATTATCTCAGGTATTTGGTTACAGTAACACAAAGCTAACTAACACAATGCCAGAAGATTGTTTTTCTTAACAAGGCCTGCACTCAGGAGACACTATTTTACCAGAGCCCAACCTATTGAGGGGTTTTATCAGCATATAATCAATCTTGGGGAAGGGAAATATCCAATCCCAGTGTCCTTTACCTATCCTGTCCCACTGAAGGAGACCAAAAAACTGAGAAGTACTTGTGAAGTTCAAAGTCCAGGGGCACAGGCTCATCAAAACAGATCTAATCCAGGTCTGTAGAATGTTTCCCCTTCCCACACACCCTTAACAACAAATTATTAAAGTCCGATTACCACAGTTCCTTTATCCCAGTCCATCATATCTAGCTTTCAACCAAAATTTACAAGGCATATTATAAATCAAGAACCACAGTTTGAAGAGATAGAGCAAGCATCAAAACCAGACTCAGATATGGAATAAATATTGGAAAAAATATACCAGAAAGTTAAAATAACTAGGATTAATATGTTAAGGACTGAAAAGAAAAAAAGTAGACAATATGCAAGAAAAAAATGGACAATGTAAGCAACGAAATGGAAATTCTAAGGACGAATGAATAAGAATTTCTAGATATGAAAACACTGTTAATATAAATAAAGAATGCCTTTGATGGCCTCATTTATAGACTGGAAATGGTTGAGGAAAGAATCTCTTGACTTGAATATATGTCAATAGAAACTTCCAAGCTGAAAAGAGAAAAAAAACTGAAGAAGAAAAAAAGAAAGTATAATATCCAAGAACTGTAGGACAACTACAAAAATACTACATGTAGGTAACAGGAATACCAGGAGGAAACAAAAAGGAACAAAAGAAATATTTACAGCAATAATGACCTAGAGATTCTTCAAATTAATGTTAGACAACAATAAGGCAAGACCACTTCTCTAAAATTTCTTCCAGAAGATAGAGGCAGAGGGAATACTCCCTAGCTCATTCTATGAGAGCAGCATTTCCTTAATACTAAAGCCAATCAAAGCCCTACAACAAAACTACAAACCAATATCTCTCGTGAACATAGAGGTAAAACTCAACAAAGGATTAGCAAATAAAAATCGTGATTCAGGACTTGCCTATGTGGTGGTGCACACCTGTAATCCCAACTAGTTGGGAGGCTGAGGCAGGAGGATTGCAAATTCAAGGCCAGCCCAGGCAATTTAGGCAATGTAGACCCTGTCTCAAAATAAAATTAAAAGGGCTGGGGATATAGCTTAGTGGTACACCCTTGTCCAGAGGAAGGCCCTTCTGGGGTGCTAAGCTCTTGGTAAAGCTGGGAAGGAATATCCCTCTTCAAATTCAAGCCTTTCCCCATTTCCATGCTTTGCAGATTTCAAAATTCTTCTGGTTATTCTGTGATGCCCTTCACCCCAGGCACTTAAGTGTGACATTTGTTTTCTGCAGCAGGATGGTTTATCTGGTCATCGCCTCCCTTTAAGTCATTTTGCATTTGTCAAAGAGCTTCCACAAGTTCATTTGCTTCATATACATTTCTGTCTATCTCATGGAGGGGTCCTGCGGATTAGATGTAAATTAATATAAAGGACTTGGCATTACCCGGCTTAGTCCTCAAAAAAACATTAACTATCATTATAAATATTATGTTGTCTACATATTGAAGAAACCGAGACTCTGAAAGATAGGTAATTTAGTTGGGATGACGTGTGGCACAGCTGGTACTAAAAACTAGGTTGACTTTCAAAGCAATACAACTTTCTATTACGGTTGTGCATCACTGAAAGTGTAGGGTCTGCTTGGGCTAGAAAGCCCACTGCCACCAAACTTAAACTTGGTAACCAGATCCCTGAATTAATTACTTTTCTTTCTTTCTTGTTTTTTAAAGGACAGTTATCCTGGAAGTTATCCGCTGTCCAACTCAGGTCACTGGGGCAATTGACATAGCAGAGCAACTCGGCTCCATTTAAAGGTTCCTGGTTCCTGGAATTTAAAAGTGGGTTCCAAAGGGAGTTGTATTTTGAGAATCTCCAAGAGCTTTAAAAAAAAAAAAAAAAAAAATCCTTCTAGGATGAAGACCTCCGGGCAGAGGGCGAGTGAGGGCGCAGCCTTGGGCCTCTGCTACCGTAACCGACGGCAAGGTGCAGGGGCTTCTGGGCGCTCAGCCGACCCTGGCGCCCCGACGGACCGTTCTCCCGGGTCGGGTCAGGTCGGGTCGGGCGGGGCGAGCGGCCCAGCCAGGCCCGGCGGGCGCCGTGCGGGCGGGGCCGGGCGGAGTCCCAGGCCGCCGCCGCCGCCGCCGCCGCCGCCGCCGCCGCGAGCCCGGACCTGCCCGCCCGACCTGGCGGCGCAGTCTCGCGGGATCGCTCAGCTCTCGCTCCCCGTGCGGCCCCGGCGGCAGCTTGAGTCCGGGACACTCCCCGGGGCCGTCCGAGGTTGCCGGGGGGACGGCGACGGGGAGGGAGAGTGGCCTTCCAGCGCCGCCCGAGGTGAGGCTCCCGGGCCCCGACCCGGCGGGTGGCCGCAGAGGCAGCTCCTGGGGGCAGCCGAGCGGGCCTCCAGGGATGCAGGGCGGGCTGGGGGCCTGGACGGTTGCGGGGCGGACTCCGGCAGGCTCGGGACGGAGCCGCAGGTGCTGCGGAGCTGGCGGCGGGACTGGCTGCGCAGCCAAAGTTTCCTCGCAAGTGAGAGCCAACTCCTGAAAGGCGACGCCGGGCCGCCCAGCAGGCCAGGGACGCTGCTGCCGCGCTCAGGCCTGGGACAGGTGTCGGGTGTGGGGGCGCTGGAAGACTGCACCTGGCAGTGTTGGGGGGGGGGCTAGGGAACTGATGATTGAAGGTTTGTGCTGTAGGAAACACGAGGTAAAGGGGCGAGGTGGAGGAAAAAAGGGAACGCTGCGATTAGGAATAAATGAAAAGGGGTTAATAGTCATAAAAATCATAATTCGGGGCTCACAGCCTTCCTCCCCAAGGGACCGCCGTCGCCCTCCCGGGACAGATTTGCTCATTTTCAATTTCGACGGCATCATCACTCTCTCTTCACACACACCCGCCCCCATTCCATGAAAACTAGTTTCGCTCCTCCCCAGGAAGAATCCTAGAAGTCTCCCTCTAGTTGGCCTTTTGAAAAAACAGGAAAAGTCTATCCCCAGAAGACTGCCACAAAAGCTAGCTTTTTAGAGTCTTTGAAAGTTTAACAACTCCTTAGGCCTTAAGGAATTTCCCTGGGCCTGTTTTCTTGTGTGTAATCAGATTACCAAAAGGGAACCTTAGATTTCATGATTCTATTAATGCCTTTTAACGTGGTCCTAACTTAGACCAGCATTCCTTTTTTTCCTCCAACTCATTCTCTGCCCCCCCCCCCCCATTTTAAACCCATGTTCCCTACAACACAAACCTTCAATCATCAGTTCCCTAGAGATGAGACTTCCTTAGCAAATAATACATTCTATGCCAAAGCAGATGAAAGAGTATCTCGCTAGGATGGAATTTTCCATCATTTTTCAAATGTTAGTTACCTAGGACAAAAATCTTAACTCTGCACTTTGACTTGCATTTGATTTTATGACAAATGTTTTTATGATAACACCCTCTGGGTTGTTTTTACAGCAATTGACCCAGAACTCATTTCCAGAAAAACAGCTTCCTTCAAATTGACAAAATAATGAAATGAGGAATTTGAACATTTTATCTTTGGACGGGAGTCTTCTGATGGTGAAAAGCAATTAATCCAAGCCATGTGGTAAAATCAGGAATTTGAAGAAAATGGAACTGTTCCCATTTTTGTTAATATGTGTTTTTCTGCCCCTCATAAGGGGGCATAGTCTCTTCACCTGTGAACCAATTACTGTTCCCAGATGCATGAAAATGGCCTACAACATGACATTTTTCCCTAATCTGATGGGTCATTATGACCAGGGTATTGCTGCTGTGGAAATGGAGGTGAGTGGTTCATCATGCTTTTGTTGAAAAATGGTTTATGTTGTGGTCTAAATAAACTCTTTTATTTTTAAACACATAAAGGATTTTTCAAGTTTGTAGAAATCATATATTGAAAAATCCTTTTGAAAATTAAATCCCCCTACTGACATATTTTGTGTATTGTTGGGTCCTTCTTTATTGAATTTGCTTAATATAAGTTTATTTTATCATGAAGTTTGGTTCTGAATGATTTCGAAATATCTCGCACCTGGCAAATATTTTGCTTTTCGAAATTAAGTACAGTAACTTCTCTAGAAATGTGAATTCTGATTTTTTTCCAATTCACTGAACATATAATCTCTAATGCCTAGACTGAAGTGAAGAAATTTACATATTTTTATAAGTAGTTGTAATGTTCACTTGGCTCAGTTTTTCCAAAGCAAATAAATTATTGGAATATGTTGGGGATTGCAGACAGTGTTTTACTAAAAAGTGACTAGTTTTTAAACACAGCATTTAAGTATTCTTATACTTGTTTTTTTTTTTTTTAATTTTTTATTGTTGGTTGTTCAAAACATTACAAATTTCTTGATATATCATATTTCACACTTTGATTCAAGTGGGTTATGAACTCCCATTTTTACCCCATATCTTATACTTGTTAAATGAAACCACATATCAGGTGAGGAGCAGAGTGACACTAAAGATTGATTGCCTTAGGTACCTCAGTTACTTGCCTCTGGTTTAGAGATATGCAAATTGCTAGGGAGGTGTGGGAAGAAAGAGCTACCTGTAGAGACAGGAACCTGCCCTCCCTACAGATCTGTTAGGTTGATAAGTCTCATGAAAGAAAGAGGACAAATGTGCTGTTTTTATAGTCTCCCTCCACCAAAAAAATGGTCTGAGTGTGGTGTCAAGGTTTTTTTCCCACCCTCAGATTGTTTCTAAGAGATGAAAACCCTACAAATCTAATATAGATATCATTTTTAAAAACTGACCAAGTTTGATTTTGCAACTTTGAAGGTCTTCCATTGTTCAGTTGAACAACTGTCTGACTACTTCATTGTAGATTTCTGTCCAAAAATGGGACAGCTTTTAAAATAGATGTTATTTTAAAAGACATTACAAATAATGTTATAATCTTTCAGTGGTTTTTCAAACCAATGCAATACTGAACAAATGGTGAGGAAAGATTTTCATTGATTTATCAGAAACTTTTGATAGTTTAATTTCATTAAAGTAAAGTATGTGGTGGAAATACCATCAAACAATAATTCTATCATTCACTTTTCCTCTTATGATAATATATGTTTTAAAACTCATGTTTCAGTAGTGTTCTTAAAGAGTTTTATCTTAATCTGGTTCCTTCCTGTGTAGTAAGTACATGCATTTTAAGTTTGAATGCTAACAATGATTTTATAAGTTCATAACATTTGGACTTGAGTTCCTTATCTAGAAAACCATTATAAAGAGAGGGGAGAGATGTATCCCTGCTATTTAAAAAGGCCTATAATTGTAAGACAGTGACAACTATTTTTGTTCCATTTCTATCTTTATAAAGCAAAAAAAGAGACTTAAAAAAAGAGAAGTTTTGGGCGGGGATTGTGGCTCAGGGACAGAGTGCTTGCCTAGCATGTGTGAAGCTCTGGGTTGGATTCTCAGCACCACATATCAATAAATAAAATAAAAGTCCATTAACAACTAAAAAAATATTTTTTAAAAAAAAAGAAGTTTTGTTTGTCTGGTTTTTGGTTTTTATTTACCTAGCTTCTTCCCCAGTAGTTTTGGGTCTGGACATTATCAAGAAGGCTTTTTGGTCTTACCTTCTTTATTTGATTTCTTATATTACCAATCTCTTCATTATACAATCTTCACATACTAAATTTTCTCATAGGCTTCACTAATGAACATTTTCTATGAATCACATTTCAGTAGGCTTAAGGATATAAAAGAAGAAAGCCATTAAATAACATTAATACCAGAATTAACCTGTCTCCAAAAGGAGAAGGGGAAGTGAACAGGCAAAATAATATTAACCTGGGTCAAAATTTTAATCTCTATATAATTTTTTTGATCTGTAGTTTTGTGCTTTTCCTGCTGTCCCATTCCTATTTGTCCTTAGCCAGCAGCATTCTCTTTTACTTCCTATATTGAATGCCCAAATCCTACCATTTGAGACTTGTAAATGAACCTAAAGATCATGCAGAGTTTCTTAAACTCTTTCTTGCCATTAAACCCTTCTCAAGAGTTAATGTTTTAAAATTTAAATAAATAAAATGGGTAGGATTGTAAAATAAGCCAATTATATTGAAATATACTTCTATTCAGGGCTAAGGTTAAGAACCCCTGATCCCTACATTATTCAGGTGAAGAAACTGCAGCCCAGAGAAGTTATTATTTGTTCAAATTTGAGCACTCTGATCTGACTCTGACACAGTGTTCTCTGTCTGCATAATCCATAATGTCATCTTTCACCATTTTTAAAAATATCTTTAATCTTATTGGATAAGAAAGATATATTTCCCAAGATTCAGAATATAATGTGTAGGGCTGGGGATATAGCTCAGTTGGTAGAGTATTTGCCTTGCATGCACAAGGCCGTGGGTTTGATCCCTAGCACCACCACCACCACCAAAACAAACAAACAAAAAAACCCTGAATATAATGTGTAAATTTCAGTCTTTTCTACTTCTTTTCGGACTGCATTTAGATAAAAATTAGGTGATTTTTTTTTTCAGCTTTGCCTTAACCACAAAATCTTGTGAGATCAAAAATAAAATCCCTAACCTTCATTCTGTCTTCTCTAGTGGTGCCAAAGTGATCTTATTAAAATGCAAATGAATGCAGTCCATCTTGGGGTTAAAATTCTTTACCATATCCCTAAAGCCAGGGAAATAAAGACCTGCTTGTAGAGAGTTTCCAAACTTGTCTTATGGGACCCTGCTTTCCTGTCCCTTCCCATACTGCACACTCTGATTCAACCAGACTGACCCATTTGTAGAATTCAAATTCATATCACTCTTACCTCTGTTCCTTTGCACAGTTTTGTGTCTTCTGATGAGCCCTCTACCTGCCCTTCTGTCTTCTTCACCTCCTCAGTTCCTTTATGTCTCAGTTAAAGCAATGGCTCTTTTTAGTGAGGCCTTCTTTCACCCAAGCATATAACACTTAATATACTGTTATGACACTTATATTTATAACACTTAATATACTGTTCTATACTGTTATGACACTTAATATTTATAAGTTTGTATACTCAACATGTTGTATTACAATTATTTATGTGCCTTTAGATGGTGAACTTGTTGAAGGCAGGGATGGTTTTTATTCATCCTTATTCCTAATGCCTAGTACAATGTCTCTGAACAGTAAATGCTCAATAAAAGCTGAATAAAGAAAAAGTAAGTCAACAAAGAGAATTTTTCTTCCAACTTCTTACCTTCCACCTTTATCCTCTATCTATCTCTACAGTGTTCAAGTGAAAGACATTCTAATATTTTTAGTTGTTTTACATAACATTTTTTTTTGTTTGCCTAGCTCTAATGAAATATATCAGTTGAAATTCTCTATTTTCTTTCCTCCATTAGCTCTACATATATTTGTTGGTATTTGTTTAAAGAATTTGATTTTTAACCATTTCTTTTATATGAAGTAAAGGAATTAATCTTTTAATTAGACCATTGGATTATAAACTATGTGTCAGATATGTTTCAAACATTATGCTTGAGTTCTTAAATTAATATTCCAGTCAACGACTAGATTATGACTGTGAGTACCTTAGCTTTTATTAAGAATATATCTTCTCTAAAGAATAGGTTGGGTTTGATACTTTCAACCCAACTGCCTTTGATTTCTGCTAGTCCCTTTTAAATTAAACTGAATTAATGGTAGGGTGAGTTTCTCAAAAACTGCCTGATGATTATAGCAACCAATTGTACTTTCTTAGCCACCAAGAATTTCATGTAAGTCAGGAGATCCATCTCATTCTACTTTTAGCCCTCAGTTTCCATTTTGTGACAACTAGCCTGTTTAGGCATTTATGGTCATTGATAATCTTAGAGCTGCAGTTTTCAAATTTTAGTGGCTGTGAGCTTGTTAGAAATGCAAGTTTGTTTACTTTATTTTGTTTACTTTATTTTATTACTTTACTTTATTTCAAAATAGACCCTAGGAAACTGTTTTGAATGTAAAGTTCAAGACCCATTGGTTAAGAATAGGGTTTGCAAATATTTTCTGTAAAGGGCCAAATATTTCTGACTTTGGAGACCATGTAGTATCTGTCACAGCTATTCATCTCTATAACCATAGCAGAAAAGCTGTCATAGACAGTATATGAACAAAGGAATAGCTGTGTTTTAGTAAAACTTTATTGTATTTACAAAAATATTTCCTAGGAGATATGATAATATAGCTACATAATGGGTTGCCACTAATATAAAAGCTGTGTATATTTTTTCAAATAAACTTTTGGAAAGTTTTATTTAAAAAAAAATAGGGGGACCATATTTTGCAGAACCCCACAATACTTGAAAGAAAGTGTTTTAAGGATACTATATCGTGTAATAAATGAACATTTTTGGGCATTGTTATTAATGTTACCTGAGTTATATGTCATTTACTTTCCACATGAATTTGTTTAAGTCAGGCTTATCACAAGCTGAAAGACTGAAATAATCACAGTTCTTAAGTTTTGTTTCAGATATTGCTTGAAATAAGGGACTTCAGTTTTTTCTTTATTATCTGAAACTAAAATTATTTGTATTGTAAAGAGTTAATTTTCAATTCTGAATAGTAACTTGGCTTTGTGATGAAAAGGATGTTGTACATTCTAAGGCTCCTAAGTGGAAAAACAAATGGCTGCTGGTTTTCCATTGTGTTCCTTTTGTTTCATATCTAGAGCATTGTTTCTCAAATTGTGAGGTTTGACTCCCTGGAGAGACTGATTTCATCCAGAAAAAGCTGAGACTGATCTAGGGAAAACGGAAACAGGAATATTGTATTTTTCCTTTGAATTGCCTTCA